AATATTTAACATTGAATTCAATTCCATTGAAACATTTAATTTTTTGATTACAGAATAATGGCTTTATTCATAAAAAATAATGTAGGTTTAAAGAGCTTTATAAAGTGACGTTTCATAAATTTTTCAGTTTATAAAGCTTCTTTATTTTTTATGAGTAATATACCGAACAGAATGAAAACGACGAGCTACAGACCACAGCTGTCTAGTTATTTTAACACGTTCTCTTATGTAGATAATTATTTTGGCGACGACCGGGCTACGCGACGGCTGTGGTTGTGGCCAGATTAGCTCTATTTCTATTTTTCCGGCGACAGATAAGGTTCTTCCTCTTCTTTTATGTCAAACTCATACAAATTCATGATGTCGCTGCCGCGTTAAAAAAAAAATTAAAAATTAACAAGTAAGAAAGTCTAAGTTCGGGCAGAGCCGAACATTAAATACCCGGCGCACGTATTAAATATGTATTTTCACCTTACCGAAAGCTACCGCTACATGGTAAGCCGGGGCTTATCAATTTTGAGTAAATTAGAGTCCTTAGATTCCGAAATTTTGAAGTTTCAAGCAGTTCTGAAATTTGCCGTTATATATAAAGCGGCCTCAATTTTAATCCGCTTTCAATAATTTTCAACGTTTTGCTTTTATGTGGCAAGCACAATAACCATGCCGAGTTTGGTACAAATTGGTAGAACGGTTACCGAGATACATATACGTGATCATAGGTGGGCGGTGCCACGCCCATTTCCCTAAATTTTATCACAAACGTATTTCTTGGTTAAGAAATTTTTGCAAGCATCAATTTTGAATAAATTAGCTTTAATATTTAGTGATTTATCGAAGATTTTGTATTTCTCTAAATTACCGTTATATGGGATGTGGGCGTGGTTATTGTCCAATTTTAAAAATTTTCGGCCATTTGTGTGAAGGCCAACAACTGTGCCAAGTTTGGAAGAAATTGGTACAGCGGTTACCAAGATATACATATGTAACCATAAGTGGGCGTGGCTACGCCCATTTTCCGAAAATTTATAATATTCTTATTTTTCGTCTAAAACTTATTGTAAATATCAATTTTGAGTGAATAATCTCCAGTAGTTATTAAAATATCACAGCTTTCGTATTTGTCTAAATTACCGTTATATGGGATGTGGGTGTGGTTATTGTCCGATTTTAAAAATGTTGGGCCGTTTGGTATGTTGTGCGAAGGCCAACAACTGTGCCAAGTTTGGAAGAAATTGGTACAGCGCACAGACAGGTATTTGGCCCTAAAAGTTGGTCAAAATCAATTATTTTGTTTTAGTTGTACACCCTTTTTTATTGTTCCTCGAAATACAACGGCATCTCCTCCTAACAATAGCGCAAACCCGACGCGCTAGAGCCTTTCCCCCGCTCCATGCGCTTAGTCGGAAATTACCGTTCGCTTGCCGTGGTGGTGTGATTGTTCGATACGCTCAAATTTCATTGTTTTCAAATATTAAAATTATGGTGAAAAAGTCGATTTCGTGTGAGTTTCTACTATGGATCGTACACAATCAGGTATGTACTGATTATTTTATTTAGTTTTGTTATGAAAAGAGACATTTTTCGTACCTTTAGCTCCATTAGTAACTAACCCTTAAAAATTCCAATAAAATACCCATTTTCAAAAATCATTAAGCTTTTTAAAGTATTTCTCAGCATTTCTCAGTAACAGTGTATATGACTTGTTTTAGAATAGGCTCTAAAGTACTCTAAAAGCGTAAAACAGCCACCCCTCTATTTTTGGTAATTTTTTTTTGCATGGACTCAAAAAACCACGTGTTATGTTTTTTAATGAAAATTGGTTTATTTTGTTTCCAGGCTCTTCTGGAATGAGAGTATTAACTAGAAACGATTTACTAAGTATCATGGAACGCTCCAATGCGTCAACTTTCAACGAAAAGTTGGAATTTATGGAGTTGGAACTTCTCCATCAATACTCTGAAGATGACCCAAATATTGCCGATGCAAAACACAAGTTGTCGATTATACGCCACCAATTCAAGCAGAAATGATCAGCTGCCCGCAATACCAATGTCAGATTCCTAGAAACCAATAAAGAGGCTCAAGGGTACCATATTGCTACCAAAATCAGGTACCTATTTACGTGAGACCTTAACCCTTCAAAACAAAAGAACTTACATTTCATGGAATGTTAGCAATGACTAACGGTTTATCTTTTGTTATAGGATTAACTCCAGGTAGACCTCAAAAGTCGTTCTCAGACTTATGTGAAAGGAGTAAAAGGCGAAAAACTGAAGAGCTTCGAACATCTGACTTGGATGAGCTGGCATACGCAACACAAATGAAATTGCGAAAAACTGGCGAAGTCGAAGCATCTAAAATCGTAAAGGTCCTTACCAGAAGCCCCCGGAAAGAAAAAATATGCAGTAGCGGTAAAAGAAAAAAACGCTCAACAAGAAAAAGAAGATTCAACGAAATTGGCACACCTTCGTTCGCTGTTTATGTTTGTTCAAGCGGGGCTTACCCAGGCCCAATACGTAGTGGTTCGAGACACGAATCCAGGCTTTTACCCGTGCTATTCGATTCTAAAGAAGTTGAAGAAAGAATGTTACCCCGAAGTCCACAGCATAACTGAGACCTGTGCTGAAGTAAGAGTACAAAGTTTAATGGATCACACCATCAAGCGATTATTAATGCATCTTGGTGAGGAGTTCCTGGAGCAACTGACTGAATCTATTATTATGTGGCGGCACTCACATTAAGCAATTAATCTATTATAGTTAAACTGTGCACATAAAGGTTAATATTAAATTCATTTATATTCATACACTTAAGGGTTAAGTTATCTTACATTATGCTTTGCATTATTATTCTAGCGATTACAGTAGTGCTATCTCTCTTACTCCTATTAATTAAGCTATCATAAGAATGAATTTTATATATTGCGAATATCATCACCTGATGTTCTTCGCTCATACATATAAGAGTAATTTCGGCAATGTAATACAGATAGTTGGATTTTGGTTACCACGTCGGATAGACGTGTTTAAATAAAGGACTAATTCTCCACATATACACTATTATACCTAAAATAAAAGGACGAAGTGCATATCCGAACTCGTCGACCTAGATATGTTCTAGCAAAATGAATCCCGTTCTTGTCGTTTTTTTGAAAAAGTTTTTTGTGGACTTATGGTAACTGAATATAGCTAAATATTTCACGAAAATGATCCTAAAATAAGTGTAATTAGTAATTTTTGTCCTATAAACCCAAATTATGATTAAGTTTCATGTTTTATTTAATTACTGAGTAAAAAAACACATAAAATAATTTTGTCCGGTTTTACTATGCAAATACTCCTATGTGCAGCGGTTACAAAGATATACACATGTAACCATAAGTGGGCGTGGCTACGCCCATTTTCCGAAAATTTGTAATATTCTTATTTTTCGTCTAAAACTTATTGTAAATATCAATTTTGAGTGAGTAATCTCCAGTAGTTACTAAAATATCGCAGTTTTCGGTTTTCTGAAAATTACCGTTATATGGGAAGTGGGCGTGGTTACAGTCCGATTTCGCCCATTTTCTATACCAACCTACCTTGGATAAATGGAAACCTACATACCAAATTTTGTTGAGATATCTCAATTTTTGCTCGAGTTATCGTGTACACGGACAGACGGACAGACGGACAAACAGACATGGCTTAATCGATTTCTCTATTCATTCTGAGCATATATGTATACATTTGTCTATATCTATCTCGATTCGTTTTGGCTGTTACAAACAACCGTTATGTGAACAAAATTAATATACCCTTGTGCACAAGTGCGCTCGGGTATACAAAAAAATTTAAATGTGTAGAATGATAAAAACGTAGAAACTCGGTACCAACATTAGATAAAATAAGCAACTGTATTCGTCTCATTCTCTGCGCTGCACATATGTGTTTTTTTAAGAAGTTTCGCTTCTATCACGAGTACGGTGCTGCACTCGCTTTTTTTACTCATGCATTTTTGCTCAGTGGTAATTTATACATAATTAGTAGCGGCACATAAAGTGAACTTACCCTGCAGAAAAAAATTATCAATAGATAAAAAATAAGCCACTTGTAGTTAGCTTTTTTGCGGGATTTCTATAAAATATATAACTTGTTGTTATCTACAAAATGCTAACATGAAGTAATGCAGGAGTAATGAAGGAGGTTGTTTTCTTTAAACGCGTTTTTATTTAAACTAGTATCGCCCAGTTGTCGAAATTCGACATCTTTTTTCATACACTTTTGAATTTTACCTATCACCAATACTAAGCCCTTTATGCGGATTACTATTTTGAAGTCCACCAGCATAATTTATAGCGAATTTATAGGAAAAAATCGAATCATGAACGTTAATATCGGATTCATTAATGCTAATTCTACCAAGTCTCCTCCTCAGTAGCTTTTGAAAATAGACCGAAAAAGGAACCTCGATTTTCATTTATAAAAAATATGTATATGTATTTGTATGTATAGATGAGATGTTCATCACTGACTAATATGTTAAACAATTCAGACTGTAATCAAGCCCGTAATTACGGTATTGACAACATATGTTGCTGTGTCAAATTTTAGGACGTCAGCATAAGCGGTTCCAGAGATAAGCGATATGAGAATTTCAATTTGTATGGACGGTGCCACGCCCCCTTTTTCAAAATCTACCACTTTTCGCAGAAAGTACGGTATTGACAACATATGTTGCCGTGTCAATTTTCGAGACGTCAGCATAAGCGGTTGTAGAGATAAGCGAAATGAGAATTTCAGTTTGTATGGGCAGCGCCACGCCCCCTTTTCCAAAATCTACCAGACTTCGCCATAAGTACGGTATTGCCAACATATGTTGCTGTGTCAAATTTCAGGACGTCAACATAAGCGGTTCCAGAGAAAAGTGATATAAAGCTGAGATCCCACGATTGCCGCAAATGGACCAATCTGGAACAATTTTTATTGTGCTGTATTGGAGCACAATAAAAAAATTGTCCCAATCAAATTCTGTACCGTCACACGGTTGCCTCTTTTTATACAATTCTGATTGCCGCAAGTTGGCGAAAAGCAATATAGGGCTTGTTCGAGTTGCAATCACAACCGCAGTGTTGCGCGAATTATTAAAGTATCACGTTCTGTGTGAATTTCTAGCAATGTGTTATCAGTTGGGCAGTTGCAACAATGTTGCCATTTTTCATCAGTACGGCAGTAATGCCGCTTTTATTACGTGCCTCGATCAGGCCCATAGTGACAAACATTGCCCCAAACTTATCACACGATTGTTCGAGCATGCGGCAATTGTGACCATAAGGTGTTGCGCTGACTTCTAAATTATGTTTTTTTCTCTGTTGTGTAAAAATGGCGTATTCCTAATAAAAAAAAAAATAAAACAATTGTATCTGCTTTGTATATTGCGTGCAAATTTTTTTGTTGTTTGAAAGCAAAGAAGCAAAAACTTGTGTCCAATGAAAACTCACGCATTCATTTAGGAGTTTGAGTGTATAGTTTTTTATTCTTCGACGATAACTGCAACGTTCTATGTGGAGTTCAAGTTGCAACAGTTTTCGTTTTAATTCTTTTACGTAGAGGTTTTTTACTCATTACAAGTAAATTGGTACAAAATAGTTATGTTTGTTTAAATGAAAGCGTCGATTTTACATAATTTATGTTTTGAATGAAATTTTATAATTATGTGTACAGCTCGCAAGAAAAGATAGCACCTTAACATTTTGATCAGTCTTGACTTTTTTCTTCTGTTTGTTTAATGTTAATTTTTTCCTATAAAGCCATACCTCACTGTCTAGTAAACGCCACTTAAGTCCAGTTTTCAAACTTTATACAAAAATTATAAACATTTCTTAAACTTTTGATAACAATTCAATGGTTTTTAATTGGGATTTCTGGAAAAAATTTTGTTATGCAGTTTACAAAGTAGTTTACAGAGAAGAAAGTGCATAATACCGTCAGCTAAAAAAATTATAAAAAATCAACAGGATTTTTTAGCAACTTCAAACTTCCACCTAATACTAAATTTTAATGAGCTATAAAACTAAATAACATTTTTTTTTCTAGAAATCCAAATTAAAAACCGTGGGATTGTGTTCAAAAGTTTAAGAAATGTCTATAATTTTTGTATAAAGCTTGCAATTTGGATTTATGCAGTTTTTGTGAGACAATGAGCTATACTTTTAACAAAAATAATGAAGATTAAATAAATAGAAGAAAAATAGTCAAGACTGGTCGAAATGTTGAAGTTCTACCGTTTTGTCGTGGTCTGTATTGAACTTTTAAGTTTTTTTTTAAATAAATTTATACTGTCATGGCAGTTCGCCAATTGGTGACATAAAACATCTTTCGTATTCTTCTCGTATGAGTTTTACTTGTGGTGGTATATATCGCAGCAAAGATTCCGTCATCGGACTTCAAGAAAAATTATAATTTGAATACAAATTAAATTAAAAGTTATTTTGCATCCGAAAACAAGGAATGAATATCAGTGATTTTTGGACACATAAGGAAGCAAAAAAGTAAATTATTAATAAACAGCCTAAATATTTTGTTGTGTATTGTTCACTTCAATTGCCGCACAAGAACACAATAAATATTGCCGCAATTTTGAAATTTTCATTGCCCCATGATTGCCAATCGAGCTATCACACGATTGCCGCACACGGGCCGTATTTGATTGGGCACAGTGAGCACAATATCGGCCTCTATTGCCGCATGAGCCAATTTATTGTGAAATCACACGATTGGGGCATAAAATGAGGCAATAATTGGTGTATTGCGGCAATCGTGGGATCCCAGCTTAAGAATTGCAGTTTGTATGGGCGGTGCCACGCCGCCTTTTCCTAAATCTACCAATTTGCGCCGTAAGTACGGTGTTTATAGCATATGTTGCTGTGTAAAATTTCAGGACGTTAGCATAAGTGGTTCCAGAGATAAGCGATATCAGAATTTCAGTTTGAATAGGAGGTGCCCCGCCCACTTTCCCAGTCCCTACCATTGTTCACCGTAAGTAGGGTATTTACAATCTATGCATCTGTGTTAAGTTTCAGTTCTCCAGCATAATAAGTTTTAGAGATATAGTGGTTTTCACAGTTTAGTCTATATGTCAGATGCCACGCCCCCTATATATCGGGGTTAATATTTCTAGATTAGAGGAAGTTATATCCTTTAAATCGGTGTAGGTTTCATTGAAATCGAGCAAACGGTGCCTTCAAAAAAGGGATTGCAAAATTTTCTTGTGGCGTATTTATATATAGACTAGAGTGCCAGTTACTGTCGAAATGCGACAGTTTTTCTAGTTTTAGAAGCCTTAGAGAGGCTTTATAACTTAACACGTAGCAAAACTTATACGGTACAAATTAACTAACCGGAAAATCTTCTGCTAAAACGTATCTAATTTTTTTTTTTATCTGAGAAGGTCTTTGGAGGACTTGGGCAGGACTTGGAATTGACCTGATACATTCAAGTTTATCGGTAAATTTCAATGATTTGATACATATCGATAGTTCGATGAATTTCAAGAACACTAAAATTCGATAACTCAACAAAATTCGTTAACTCGACCAATTCCGATAACTGTGAAATTCGATGGCTCAATAATTTTAGATAACTCAAAAATGGAAAAACTTTGGATACCTTTATAAATTTTTACTTTTGACATCTCCACATTTTTCGAAAACTATCTAAACATTTTGATAACTCGT